CACAACAGAGTGAGGCATTTATTTGCTAAGGCTCTGTGTCAACTCTTGGGATTCTTTATGTACCCAAAATAAGTTAAATTGTAATTATTATAGCTGTGTCTTAAAATATTCTTTATGTAAGTTTTGCCAATCTAACAGCCATTAGTAATGTATTTTTGCTCTTTGACTAGGATAATGTTATGTGTAAAGTACTGTGCAGAAAATTTATGAAGGAAAAGAGAAAAAATTAAGTGTTATTTAAAAATAAGTCATGGAATAGGAGCTTAATTATGGTATGGTAAAGATTCCTACTTTTACATGATGATTTTTATAAGGTTTTAAATTTCTGATTACCTTTGTACACCAAACTTAGCGTAAGTTATTGTGATGATATAATACACACTGTTGTTAATACCAGTGCAGTTATTGTGCCAGTTCTAATAATGAGAATTTCATTGTGTAGGGAAAGCAGTCTCCTACACTCTAGACAAAAGTGTAATTACTTTTGAACGATGTGGAATGTGCTCAGTTTAATAGCATGGAGAATAGATTCAGAAAGATCCAGATAAAGTAAGCTTGGAAACCACATGTGCAGTGTGGCAGTATCAGGTTATGATAGAAGGCAGTGTAATTCTGCATACGCATACCCGATTTCACACAGTTTATCTATAAACTGTGTCTGTAAGAGATAGGCTTGCTTATCTGAACAAGGCCAATTCAATTGAAACAAGGTGAAAATGGTGACAAGTTTGTATTTTTTTTATGGTAAATTGATGTTTATCATGCAATGAAATCACAGTGTTATGAACATTATTTGGTGTATGTTGTCATGAAATGCCATATGAAGCTGTTTATCTAGCTACAGTCTCAGGCTTGTGTTTGAATGCAGTAGTTCATTCTTTGTAATTACATTGTTTCTGAAAATTGCCCTAAGGGATAGTAGGAATTGGGGGCATGTGAAAAACAGTCAGTTGGGGTCCAGCATAGCCATGGGGTAAGTGAAGATTTTTCTGTTGCCATACAGTTCCATTCCATATGTGGGGGAAGGTCTAATATTAAATGAAAACTTGATTCATGTGTCCATAATATTTGAAATAATGTTGTTGAGTTTGAAGTTAACTGGGCCTTGAGAAATTAATGAATGTGCTCTTAGATGGAGATAGAGTGCTATGAGGAAGTTGTGAGCTAGCACACTTAATGAGGATATACTTTTAGCACCCCCACACAGTACTGTTTAGCGAGAGGGAACACATAGGACTTTTAAAGATGATGAGAGGGGGGAAATGTGTTTGCTTAAGAAGAGTTAGATTGTTTTACTGGCTTTCATTTAATAGGGAGTGTTGTGGGATGAGTAAAGTCAGTTATCTGCAGATTTACCTATTAACATAGATAGGCCAATTGTTAATGAGCAGATTGAGGGGTACCCTAGGGCCCCCAAACCTACTCTAAATGGGTTCTGCCATTCCACCACATAAGTGTGTAAGACCTTCAATGGAAAGGAACTTTAATACAATTGGTGTGCAATAGAAAGACAATTAGTGTGTCATAAAGAGAAGAGAAGGAATATAGTTAAAATAGTTTTCCCACGAAACACCAAAAGTTACCCATCTCCTCATGGGTAAATGCCCAGCCAACAGGATTGGTCCAAAGTGGGGCCACTGAGGCCCAAAAGCTTGCCACAAGTGTAAGGTACTTTCTGGCGGGGACCCATAGTGAAAAGGGCAGAAAGGGCTTGACAAGTATGGAAGGAAAAAAGCAAAATCAAAATGCAAGTCTAGATAAAGGCTGCCATTGTCAGCTTCTCCGTGGCCCTCTCACCCACGACTTTGTCTCTTTCAAGTGTTTCTTTTAATGTCCCCCAAGTTTCTGGTACAAGTTCAAGGTCGAGAGGCAAATGTGTCTTCACATATCAATCTGCTCCTGGTGTCTCCTCCTGTCTTCTTCTTGCCTCTCCTTCTGCCCAGCTCATCCTTCCTTGGGTGGGGCCGGGAACCTAAAACCTGCCCTTCCTCTGGATATCACACTGTTACAGAATGACTGAGAACTCACCTAGCCCTTCATGAGGCTTTTGTGTGTAGTGTGGAGGTTAAAATAAGCACAAAGTCACCATAATATTACATAAAATAGGAGAACACTGACACAGACTAGCAAATGCCAAGGAGATTTACAGTTGACTATATCTCATTTGTTGAGATCAAAATAGATTATTTGAAAAATTTTTCTTTTTATTTATTTATTTATTTATTTATTTATTTATTTATTTATTTGTTTATTTATTTATTTATTTTTTTGTTTATACAAGCACAGTCAGAAGCATGGGAGGGTGAGAGAATTCACCAGAGCCAGAGCGGGGAGCAGAGCAGGCAGAAGGACCGAAGTACACTGCTGAGGGGAGCAGCGGGCAGCAGGAGAGGTCTGCGCGCCATGTGGGACCCTCCTCCGGTGGCCGGGGAGCAGCCAGGGATCGAACCGGCGCCGCAGAGGCAGCGGGCAGGTTCGCAACCCAGCGCTCAACCGCTGCGCCACCGGGGAGGCCCTGAAAAATTTTTCTCACGACGAATACTAGGTGCCAAGACAATAAAAATATATGTACATTGGAACAATTACCCAATGCAAGGCCTTATACCCAATAATAGTTTGCTTTGCTATAACTATTTTTTCCCAGAAGAAATAACTAAGAAAAAAAAAAAAAGCAAGTTAAAAAAACACTTAAGACAAAGTGCACTGTAAATGTCTTCCTATAAAATGTGAGGAAGTTAGTAAGATACATGCCTAATACCAATAGTAATAAAAACAACTACTTAGATTATTGGGATTTTACCGGTTTCCTTTCTATATCTGAGTGACCACCTACAGTGAAGTGAGAAGAATGAGGGAATATTTGGCTGGGATACCAAAAATAGCAAGGACACTAGAAGACTGGGCTGGAAAGCCACTGGAATGGTGTTCCCGATTTTGTAGAGTGGCTAGGGAGTCACCTTTATCTTCTGTCTTATTCTCAGACCCACTTACTATGATCTTTTGTATTGTCACTTAAAAATAATGAAAAGTTTGAGAACCACCAATGTAGCCTTTAACCTGAGGGACTGGTTGAAGACCCCACACCTTTGAGCTCGAGGGAAGCTTCCTTCTTACTTATACACGTTGTTTCCTGGCCATTTGCCAGACCTTCCTGTATTCAGCCTAGGATTCTCTTACTGTGTATGTGACTAGTAAAGATCACTTGGTTTTATGATAACGTTTTCTCCGTCTTTTAGTAAACAGGGAGGGTGTAGGTTATTCACAAAACTACTTACTTGGGAATAAAAAAGAACCCTATGTTCTTTTTTTTTGAAATTGCTTTTAGTGAATGCAGATGTCTGGGACTTAGTGCTTCTGTGAATCCCTCTATATCTGTTTATGTACCTATTACTAACTTCCACTTAAAATTATTTGACACCCTCTGCCATGGTTTTCATTCATTTCTTTAATAGTTTCTTTAACTCAGTTAATTCCTTTTGGTAACCGTATTTCGTTCCTAAATTTGACATTTTATAGAGATTGGTAAAAATAAGAAATAGGGAAAGGAGAGGTCATTTACATGTCTAAGAAGTGATACTGATATCAGTATCACTTAATATATGAGTAACACTTGTAATGCATTTGTCATTATATCTTATTCTATATTTATAAAGGGCAATCACCTAAAAATATCCAAAAGAAATTAATTTCGCAGTGTTGGTGCCTGATTTCTAGGAATTGGAATAAAATATCTCAGTTGCCGAGGCCTGAAAATATTTCAGATACGACGTACACCACATTTCCTCTTGTCCATGTCAGCCAGACACAACTACCCACTGTATCTGAGACAAAGGGGAAGTCAGTTTCATGTAGCACCTTCTTTAAAAGGCACATCCATTAGCACTTAATTAGGATCTTAAAGTGTAGTCATAAAAATAAGAAATAAGGAAATACTGGAATTTCATTAGAATTTCTTTTTCTCATGTATTTTAGTAGTTAGTCTCATAGAATTTTTTTCTTTTAAAGATATAGACGAATATCTGGATTGGGGGGTAAGTTTCAAAAAAGAAAGGACTTCTATAATGTAGAAAATCTAATAGGAAGATCAAAGGAAAAAATCATTTTGAGGAAAAATGATTCCTTAAGAAGTGAGCAGTTGAATTCAGAATGCTTAGAACACCATTGGTGCCACATCAGGTGCATTTAAATGCTTACAGTGTAGGGTCTCCCTGGTGGTACAGGGGTGAAAGCCTCAGTGCTATCAAGCTATCGCCACACCAGCCACAGCAGCATGAGTTTGATCCCTGGCCAGGAGGCTAACCCTCTTGGCATAGCAGACCTCTCCTGTCTCTCCTGCTGCTCCCCTCAGCAGTGCATTTCAGTGGATCCCCATGTTCTGCTCCCCATTCTGTCCCTGGTGAATCCTCTCACACCCCACACCACTGGCCTACACCCCAGTTTTTGTATACATAAATAAATAAATCTGTAAAAATAAAATAAAAGCTTTCAGTGTATTTAAATCTTATACTTCCCCATAGCACCTGCTATATGCCCTTAATTTGTGCTGGCATTAAACTGGAGTTAAAACTGATTTCATGACAATATTTAAATGTGCTACCAATCTTGTTCATCTTGTACCTACCCCTCCCTTATTTTATGTATTAGAAGGTATATTTTATTTTCTATTCTACAGGATTGGGGGGTGGTGGGAGTGGTTCTTTATATTTAAAAATGGAAATAAATATAAACCTAACTGAGGTTGACAATTGTAGTCAGTTCCTTTGTTTACCTATCTAGTCTGTACAAAGGCAAAATGCTTTATAAAAATTGTCCCAAAGAACATTTTTAGGAATGACCGTTGTAAGCAGATGAGGTACGACTCTGAGGAGAGCAGCCTTGGCCTGCTCTGTGACACTGATGTCACATGATAAAATTAGTGAACACACGTGACTGGGTTTTGTGTCTTATTTAGTCAAGGCTACTTCTGTGTCCACAGAGCAAACAGTGTTATCATTATATAGAGAAGCAATGTTTACTTCAGTGACTCTTCTTAGCTCCTAAAATCCAGGCTGTCTTGAGATAAAAGTTAATCTTGTTGGTCGATATCCTTAAATGAGAAAATAATATTAAGAGTTAACAAAAATTCTTACATGGAGATAAGCTATGCAAGGGGGAGGGGATATAACTTCAAAGGTATCGTTAAGTAACTTTATATGTTTTTATAAATATAAAATAGGTGCTATGTAAAACAAAACCTCATGAGTGGCAGAAAATGTTATAACAACTTGCAGTATTATACTTAATAATGTACTAACCTGGTAACCACCTCTCCTGCTACTACTGGACCCTTCTCTCTGTGTAAACGTGGGTGTCCTGGTGAAGGGAAGAGTGCTAGGCTGTCACTAGCATCCATCTTTAGGCTTTGTGGCAGTGGCTGGCATGCTCTGCTCACGAGGGACATAGGCATCTTGGAGCAGCACATGCTTCTTATATATCTGAGATTCTGATTTCCCCAGAGTCATTAGTAGAACATAAGAAACAATTTTGAAAGTCTTGTGTGAATTTTTTGTACTGCCTATCTACAGTCTGATAGTTGCAATTCAAATATGGGAGATTTCAAATAGTCAATGCTCTTTAGAATACGGTACCCAATAATGACAACAACAAAAAAAATCATCGTAATATTTCAAGTGTCTTTATGTACTAGTAACCCTTCATTTGTAATCTCAGTCAATTATATGTTAACCCAGTAAGTTGGGCAACTGTGATCAACTCAATTTACAGATGGAGGAGCATCTTGAATAGTTCAAGTCATTTACGTACTAAGTCAGGGATAGTTTGTTTTCATGACTTCACAACCCAAGCACTTACTAACTGTGCTTACTACCTGTCCCCTTATTAAACAAACAGAATTATTTTTATAGCTTACTGGAATTATTTCAGATTAATTTAGAATACAGTTGGAAAATTGTTGCCTGATTATTCTTCCTTAACTTATAGATAACTTGATTTTTTAATCTTTTTGTTTGGCTTTAAGTGGACCAAGATATTTGACTATTTTCAAAGGTGTATTAGAAGTTCAGCAGAGACAGTTGGGCAATATATGGGATTTCAAGGGATTATTTGCTGCATTTTCATATAAATATTAGTATTAGTCTGTGCTTTGGCTGTGTGACTGTTGGTATAGCACAGTGATTTAGCACGTGGCAGCTGGTGACACAATTAGTAAATTCCATGTCCTTCTATTTGATACCAGTATGGGTATTTGAAAAATTATGCAAATTTTCTGTTCCTCAGTTTGCCATGTGTAAAATGAGGACAATAACAGTAACATAAAGGGTGTTTAATATTTAAAGAAGTCAACATACATAGATCACTCTGTTGTCTGGAATAGAGCAGGACCATAGTAAATGTTGGTCATGTTTAAATAAACTTTAATAATTTAGGTGATATAAAATTATAAAGCTCTTCATGAAATAGATGGTGTCCTGTGGAGAAATGCAAAATAAATGGAAGGCAGGAAACTTAATGTAGATTAAGAATAAAGAACATGGAAGACAAAAATAGAAAATACCTGATTGGTTGGGGCCGCATATTCAGATTTTTTTGGGCTGTCAAAACCAGAGTTGGACTAGTGTTTGGTGAATAACTGACTGAATATATGTTTCTGGTCCAGTTTGTATTTACAAGGGCACCCAAGTTTTTTAAGTTTGGGTTTGCTGATGTGATTCTCTAGACAGGAGTGGCTCAGTTGTTATTAGCTAATTAAGTCCTTAAGGAAATGTTTAAGTTCTGTGATGTAGGAGAAAAATGATACATTATGTTTAGCCTGATACCTTAAATTCTTAGACATTTAAGCAACCTACAAGAAAATCTTCCACTTAGGGAGAGTCACTTTTGAAATGAGAAATCCAATAGAATTCTCAGTATCTTGTTGCTAAAAGCATTTTGGTGGTATTTTTAACTATTAAAAAGGGAGATCGTACATCGATTGTGAGATACTGTCTCTCAGTGAATTATTTATGATAGATTCACTTATAAACATTCATTGGCAGCCAAATTTTTTGCTTGATGTTAGTAAGGCTGTCAGTGCTGCCTCCCCGCACCCCACCCCCCACCACAACCACCATCACCACCACCACCACCACCTACGCAACAAAAATCTCCCTAAGCCAAGTCAGAACTGCATTATGATAAGATTACGAGATGTAGAATGAGGTGGCAAGGAGCCTAATGTTGCCCTTGCAGTGCCTGGATTCCAGTCATAACTCCACATTTTATGAGGTGTGATCTTGTTTAACTTTTATGGCATCTTTCTGTGCCTTCTTTTCTCATGTGAAAATGAGGATAATAATAGAACCTCCCAAACACAAAAGAGATTGTGAGGTTAGATTATAGAATTCTCATAAATGGCTTTGAACCATGCCTGGCATATGACAAGCATGAAATAGATGCTGTAGTTCCTGAATAAGTTTGTTTTCTGTTGACTAATTGCTATTAACTACCAGAACAAAAGACTGTTTTCTTTGGGATTCCCTCTAGTCTCCTTTCCTTTTAGTAACCAGGAGAAATATCACCCACTTTACCCTCCCATTTTAAGTGGTTCATTAGTCTTACCAGTGAGCTCTGTCATTGTGTTTGGATGTAATTCACCTTGAAATTGAGATGCGAACTCATTAAAAGGAGAAAGTTCTGTGCCCCCCTGTTCAGCACTGTTTTACTATAGTTTGGCTCAGTGACTGACACACAGGAAATACCTCAAAATAGTTGAATGAGTGAAGGTCTCCAAATCTTTTTCTCATTGAAGACACTCAGATTGTGCCTTTTCTTATCTGTATGTCCAGATAATGAAACTTAATGCATAGCTGATACAATGATTACATAAAATATTTATGGGCCTCCCCTAGTGGCACAGGCGGTTGAGAGCCGCACTGTGAAGCTGTCCACAGCCTCTGCTGCACCAGTTCGATCCTGGTGGGCTGGCGAGGGTCCCATATGGCGTGGCAGACCTCTCCTGTCTTGCCCGCTGCTCCTCTCAGCAGTGTATTTCAGTCAGTCTGCCTGTTCTGTTCCCTGCTTTGTCTGGTGAATCCTCTCACCCTCCCATGCATCTGGCCTGTACCCCAGTTCTTGTGTAAATAAATAAATAAATAAATCTTTAAAAATATTTATCTTGCACATTGTTTGTCAGATAGTTGGTAATCAGTTAATGTGAGTTTGCTTCAGTCCAGGTACTCTTCCAATCACACATAGAACATCAGCACATTCTTCATACATCGTGCTCTTCATACATTGTGTTGCCAAAAGAAAGCAACATCGGCACAACACAAAACAGCAAAAATGTTTTGGAAGAGAATATATTTACAACTTGCTTAAGTTTTCTTTCATGAACATCCTAAAGATTGCATGATGATTCTTTCTTCGGACATTGTTAGTGAGGCTCCTGTTTATGACTCTGCTTTTAAGAACATTTTAACTTTTTCTTTTTCTTTTTCTTTTTTTTATATTGCACTGCATTCTCAGATTCTCACTTGAGTTCAGGAAGTCTTAGAGTTACTGTGAGAGATTTGTTTTTTAATATTGTGTTTATTGCATTTTATTCCTTTGCTTTCATTTCTATTTTACCCATCAGGGAAACTTGATGTCATGGAAAAAGGATGTGATACAGTTAATATGCACATCACAAATGACTTTTTGTGACATAATAGCTCTGGCCCATAGGAAATCTGACATGTGTCTAAAATTGACATACCTAACTAAAATATGTGTAATGTAGCTGTTCATTCTTGATGATTACACATAAATGTCTGCCTTCTTTTTAACAGATAAAACTTTGACTTGTGACTTTTCTGGTTTGCTTGATATGATCTTTTTTATTCCCCTTCATATCAACTTGCCCCTGTTCACTTTATATCCTCTTCAGTGATTCTACAGTTATTTTTGTTTTACATAGATAGAAACATGTTTTTCCTCCTTTTTTACATATGGTGTTTTTGCTTCATGCAGAGAGAACCACACAGATGACAGTTTTTAAAAATCCAAATTTTATTCGGCTTTACATTCATACGTTTATAACCCTGAATATTTTCAAAATGTCCTCACCTAAAACACTTTATAGTTTTATTACTAGATTTATACCAGAGAAGATACATCAGATTTCTTAGGGATAATCTTTAAGCAGAACTTAGTAAGACAAGCTTTGAAAACTATCATTCCTAGAAAAGTAAATCTCAAATCACATAACATCAGTTTAATAGCTCCCCTTGACAACTTAATGCGACAGATTGAAATATAAAAGTCCATGCAAGTGGGATCAATGGATTATCTAAGTCCCTGAATATCTTCTCTTAAATTGGGGGACTTGACAGAGTAGTTGTGAGAGGAGTGTGTATTGTGTGTCCCTTGTTATGTACAGAGCATTCAGCTTTCAGAGATTATTGCTGAGTGGTTGTGGTCTACCTGGAGAGGGAAAAAGACATAGTGAGGGAATGAAAGAGAGGAAGAGGCCAAGGAGAGAACTCAGGGGGCTTTGTCATGGCAATTGTATAAAGTGATACACAGTGCAAACTGACTTGAGCTTGTCCCTGGATGGCAGGCGGTTTATAGCCGCCACGAGCTGAGATTACTGCTTTATCTTGTCATACTAAATTAACATGGCAGTACACTGTTAAGCAGCGGTGACCTCTTCATCTGGGGAAATCGCTGCCTAGAAGAGAGATGGTATTTAAATCTCTCTCTCATGCGCCCCCTCCCCTTGCTCTTATTCCCTTAAGAAGCATTTTGGGGTTAGACTAGAGCATTTGAAAATTTTTATTGGAAAAAATTTTTCTTGTATTGAAGTATACAGAGAGAGGTTATAGAAGATCAGACAATAGTTTTGAGAATATTGCAATTTTATTTATCCAGTGTTCTAAGACATAGAATTTTTACACATTGGGATTGAGAATACATTTGCTGTCTTTTCATTTTAATCCATTGTTATTCTACAAATAACCTCTTAAGTCCTATACTTTCCAAGACAAAAATAGTGGGGGGATTTTTCTGGAATTACAGAACTTAAAATAATCTTCTGAAGTTCTTAGGTATTCTAATGGAAACTTTTCAGATGATTACCTTCTTAATGATACAGAACAAATGGTTTTCTATTTTTGGAAAAATGAATTTACAGTTTATCTTGATAATGATTCTTTGTATTACTATTCTTAATGTCAAAAGGTCCTACTTCATGATTGTTGAACAGAAACTTCCATATTTGTTTTATGATTACTCACTTCCATGAGCAAAGTAAAAATCCTTCTTAATCACTTGTTACAGGTCTAAATTAGGTAAGCTACCCATTTTCTATTTAAGATGTGCTCAGAACATTCACTGTCTTATGGTCATATCTTTGAGTGGAAAATGGACATTGATGTTTTATTCTTAAATTCTCAGTTTCTAGAAAATGTTCGGATCCTATAAAGCCTCAGGTTTGTGTGCTGAAATTGAGTGTACAATCTGAACGATTCCTACAGCTTTTTCCCTCCTTTTGGTACTCAGTGGTTTCAGTTGGAAAACAGTATAGATGCAGATTTTAAGAAGATTGTTTTAGGTACAATCTGTCTTTTCAGAGCCTTTCTCGTGGTTTATAGGACTAATCCATTTCCTTTAGGCTTTCTCAATTTTGGTTCAGGTTTAAATAGTCTCCCTGGAGAGAATGTTTATATTCAGCATAGTCTCTAGACTCACTTGTGCCTTTTTGGGCTCTTCTTAGGATCATCCTCTAACGCGATTAAATTATTTTCTAAATTATTTCTTAAAATATTTCAAGTTTCTCTTCTGTACTGTAGGACGTCAGCTACTGGACAAAGCATATTGTGTTTTCCCCTAAAATCTCTTACTGCTTCCTTTTTTCATTTTAGGGGCATTTTAAAAAGTTTTATTTGTCCCCTCTTTAGTGTAGTAGAGATTTCTAAGAGCTGACCAGTTATGGTATTTTCTGTTATAGTGATTTTCTGAACTTGATTGCCTCACTAGCACAAGGAATCCATAACCACCAGTGACCACCACAGGACAAATATGGCACTGTGATTGATGCTCCTTGAATGGCTATGCTGTCCAATTATTAAACATAAATAGATGATATTAAATACTGTTTTCATGAGATTGTTCACCGGAGAATTTAGATACACAAATGATATGTTGAATCTTGGTGGAAATGAATTTTCTTCAGGTTTCTGGGCCGTAGAAAAATTATCTCTCATTTATCTCTTTTCTTAAATGTTTTGACTTTGTACATGTTCTTACAATTATTTCTCATTCTTTGTTTTATTACACAACTGAATGAGGTTTTCTTAATCACCATCTTTCAGTCACCTAATATTCAATGTTTTTTTAAATGCAGAAAAATCCACTAAAAAGAGTCAGAGTTAATTGCACTTTCACTATACAGCCGTTAGCTAATAATAAAGTCCACTTTGTGAGACTCTTTTATAATCAAATTATTGGAAAGTCCTATTTTAATAATGAGCTAAATATTGGTAGCATGATGACCTATCAACCCTATGTATCTTTTGAGCTTGTTTCTTGGCTCTGTTAAACAAAATTCATCTGCGTGTGACTTATACAGATCTTTCCACAGTGGCAGTAATCTTTTACCAGTAGGCTCTGATATATCCTTTGTACTAAAGAAAAGAAAATGATACAATCTAAAGTGGAATTGATAGACTGTTTGTTTGATTCAAAAACCAATATAGTAAACTAGAATATATGAAAAGGGTTTGCAGTTGAGATGGTGAGGAGAATGATTTCCTTAGTTGGCATACAAACTGGTACTTTATAATAAAGGTTCATTAACATGTAAGCAAGTGGTTTATTTTTGGTGTTAGCAGTGACATGGCCATTAATTCCTGGAACTGGAATACAGTTTCAGAGATACAGATTTAAAGAAAAATGCAAATAGCAAGCTTAGTAAAGAAAATGTATTTTTGCTTATCAGAAAAACAATAATGTCACTTTTAAACATGTTTGATTTTCTTTTTGCTAAAGATGCCTCATGTGTGAAAAGTAAGATATTAAACTAAACTTCGCTAATATTTTACAGGTTTCATGAGTTTGAGAGCAAAGGTCATTTGGGCTGTCCAGGCATTTGGTGAAAACATTTTATTCCACTGGTTTAACTTTAGTTGACCAATGAATAAGAAGACAGTCTACTGGGAGTATTTACCACCTCATTCAGTTCCCAGGGGCACCTGGCTGGTGTCAATAGCTAGATTTATGCCTCGCTTTCTTGGACAGTTCTGGGAGCAGCCTTCAGAATTGTCTTGAAGACAGTCCTCATCCCAATT